TTTACCTTTTACATGTAATGCTGAAAATGATTTGCTAAATTTTTTTTTTGAAGGTTCATAAGGGTTATTGGCCTGTAGTCTTTTCTTATGATGTTTTTGTCAGGTTTGTTATCAGGAAAATGCTTACCAGTTAGAATGGGTTGGGAAGTACACCTTATTTTTAACGTATGTTTGTTGCTTGCTTGCTTTCTCTCTCTCTCTCTCACTCTCTCTCTCTCTCTCTCTCTCTCTCTCTCTCTCTCCCTCTCTCTCTCCCTCTCACCCTCTCTGCTCTCTCTCTCTCTCTCCTTCTTCTTTTTTTCTGAGACAGGTTCTCACTCTGGTGCCCAAGCTGGAGTATAGTGGTGTGATCGTGGCTCACTGCAGCATCAACCTCCATGCTCCCAGGCTCAGGTGATCCTCCCACGTCAGCCTCCTAGGTAGCCGGGACCACAGGCACTTCCAGCTAACTTTTTAAATTTTTTGTAGTGATGAAGGTCTCATTACATTGTGTTGCCCAGGCTGTTCTCAAACTCCTGGCCTCAAGCAATCCTCCCTCCTAAAATGTTGGGATTATGGAAATGAGCCACTGCACCTAGCCCAATTTTAATTTTCTAGAAGAGCTTGTGTAAAATTACTATTATTTTTTTTAAAAAAAGCTTGGTAGAATTTACCAGTGAGGCTATCTGGCCTGGAATTTTATGAGAAGCTTTTTATCTACATATTGGTTTCTCTAATAAATGTAGGGTTACTAAGGTTATTCATTTCTTCTTGAGTGAGCTTAGTGTCTTCCAAGAAAGTCATCCATTTCATCTAAGTTGTAGAAATTGTTGTAGAAATCTTTTCATATCCGTAAGATCCATGGTGATTCCTTACATTGGTAATTTCTGTCTTCTCCCCTTTTTTCCTAATCAGTCCACCGACAGGTTGATCAATTTTATTGATTCTTCTCAAATAACCAGCTTTCAGTTTTGTTTGTTTTCTCTAGTAATTTTCTAATCTCCACTCGGTTCTTTATTATTCTCTTTCTCCTACTACTTAATTTGAGTTTAATTTGCCCTTATTTTTCTAGTTTCTTCAGGTGGAAGCTCCATGACAGGCAACAAAAGATTTAACCATGTGCAGGGTAAGTGGTGTCTCGCTCCCAGAACTTCATTTGAGTAATTCATAAACAGTGTGCATACGACTCCCGGTTATTTGTTTGAAGAACCAACCTTGGATAGCTGACATTGCAATTACTCAGATTCAATCTAGGGAAATGCACTTTGTCAGAAATGCCATAAATGAACTTTTATTTGTCTCCATTTGTCATCAATCTATAAAGTCTGAAAGACTTTTCATTCTAGTCTGTTATCATGGAAAATTATGGCTTCAATGGCACTTTCTGGAAGTTTAACCTTTGTCACAAGTCTGTCAAGAATTTGACTACATTCTATTTGCATTCTATTCTACTTAGTTTAAGTCTATTTTCTTTTCTTTTCTTTTCTTTTCTTTTTTTTGAGACGGAGTCTCACTCAGTCGCCCAGGCTGGAGTGCAGTGGTGTGATCTCAGCTCACTGCAACCACCGTCTCCGGGCTTCAAGCGATTCTCCGGTCTCAGCCTCCCAAGTAGCTGGGACTACAGGCACCCACCATCATGCCCGGCTAATTTTTCTATTTTAGTAGAGACAGGGTTTCACCATGTTGGCCAGGCTGGTCTTGAACTCCTGACCTCAGGAGTGTGATCAACCTCCCAAAGTGCTAGGATTACCTGCGTGAGCCAATGTGCCCAGACTTAAAGCCTGTTTTCAAAAGAAAAAAAAACGTTTAACAAATAGGGATGACCATAACCAGAAAATGTGTCTCCACCAGAACAAATGTGTCACAGCACCAATGCTTTATGAGATCAATGGGACAAACCAGGTCTTAAGGCACTTCCTTGAGCACCACAGAGGAAGCCTCGATGACACTGCTCAAGGGAAACAGAGGCCCAGACCCATTCCAAGAGGGCGAGTGAGACTCTCCCTCTTCCTGAGGAGCCAGAACAGACAGTCAGAATCAGGAATACGCTCTGAATCCCCAATTTCCTATCAAAATCACTGTAGCATTCTTCCTGAAAGTGAATGACAAAGCCATAATCTTTTGGCATGTGTTCAGAGAGCAATAGGCTTTTTCAGAAAATCTGTATTCCTAACAAAAGACATCTAAAAACCTGCTCACTAGAAATGGGTACTTAAAAGTCCCTTTTGAACTTAAACTACTTTAAGGACAGGACACTGGTGGAAAATATCCTGGCAGAGGAACTTAGTAGTGAGACACTCAGAACTGAAGGGGAAGGCCATGACTGGCCATGGTATTTATGAATAATCAAAACCAGACCAGTTTACAGAAAGCGTTGCTAACAGACCACACTGTCAGAACAAGCGTTCACGGTGAGAGACCACGCAAATCCACACACACTTGGAGCTGGGGATGCCCATTTTAGACAAAAGCAATTTAATATAAACTGGACGAGGCTTACATTTCTTTTATATCCACTTTTTGGAATTCCAAATTTTATGTAGCTTCTATAGAGAAAAGATAGGACAACCCCAACCCCTTTAAAATAAATAAATAAATAAATAAAAGTTTAAAAACTGCTCGGGCCAGTCACAGTGGCTCATGCCTGTAATCCCAGCACTTTGGGAGGCCAAGGCAGGAGGATCACGAGGTCAGGAGATCGAAACCATCCTGACTAACATGGTGAAACCCCATCTCTACTAAAAATACAAAAATTAGCTGGGCGTGCTGGCAGGTGCCTACAGTCCCACCTACTCAGGAGGCTGAGGCAGGAGAATTGCTTGAACCTGGGGGGCGGAGGTTGCAGTGATCCGAAATGGCACCACTGTACTCCAGCCTGGGCGACAGAGAGAGACTCTGTCTTGGAAAAAACAGAAACAAACAACAACAACAAAAACCTAGAAGACACCTATCCCCAAGCCACCATTACGAAAGCAGGGAGCAGAGGGAGGACGGGCGGGGCTTCAGCAGAGACTAGAAAGGCCCCATCCCAGCAGCCAGTGCAGGCAGCTGCGCTCTCCCAGGTGGTGGACAAGCCACTTGAGAGTCAGAGGTAGGCCCAGGGGCCGCAGCCCAACCACAGCTGGTCACCCTTCCTGCCATCTTTGCAGGGAAGGCTCATTCTCTGGGGAAAAGTGAACCAAAGAGGCCAGGAAGTTGGGGAGGGCCAGCACAGACAAGAGTCAAGGTAAGGGTGGAAGCTGCACTGACAGGCAAGAGGTGGAGGAGTCTCTGGAGAGACCATGGCCGCTGCAGAAGAGACCAACAGGTCCGGACCTGCAGGCATCGCCAGGCTGCCCCGAGGGAGGCCTACCTGTCCCTGGGCCCCGACAGCCACTGCCTGGTCATTCTGAGGGCTGCACACTTGAAAGATCATCTGATGTTCAAGTAAAATCTCCAACATGGAAAAAAAATTGCACAAGAGGACTCAGGAAATAGAGACAGTGAGAGCAGGCGAGGAATCACCCTTCTCTTCAAGGAAGCTGCAAGGAATGTTCACAGGAAGAGAGGAATCACCCAGAAACAGGAAGGCGCTGACCGAAAGGGAAGAAAGGCAGAGAAACCAGATCACTAGAAAAAAGAGCGAGCTTTTAGAAATTAAAAAAGAATAGCCAAAATAGAGTCAAAATAAAAGATGCGAGTAGACAAACTGGAAGACAAAGTCAAGGAAATGCCTTTAAAAAGGGGAAGAAAGACACAAGCAGAAAGGTCAGCAAATGAGAGGCTCAAGCCAGGAGGCCTGGCAGCCTCAGGGTCCGGGGGCGGGGCCGGGGCGAGTCCTGGGGCGGGGCAGGGGGCGGGGCGGGGCGGGGCAGGGGGCGAGCCCTGGGGCGGGGCTGGGGGCGGGGCTGGAGGCGGGACTAGGGCGGGGCTGGGGCTGGGGAGCCCACCAGCCAACGACGGCCAGTTACCAGCCGCTCTGGAGCTCCGTTTCCTAATCTGAAAATGGGGCAATCCTGTCAGCACCTCCCTTACAGGGTGGTTGGGAGGGTTCCGTCCATTATTAAGGGCACAGGGCTTAGAACAGTGCCTGGCATACAGTATGCACTCAATAGATACCATCTCTGATTAAGTCTTCATACGATTTCTAAATAATAAGAATACACTGGAGAGGAAATTATCAAGGAAATAATACATCACTTTTTTCTGGAAATAAAGGATATAGAGAGCATTTTAAACAAAGGTACAAGCACTCGTGCGACTGGGGTGGCATGTATTCACGTACGTAGTTAAGAATGGGGCGGGCGTGTGTGTGTGCGTGCGCGTGTGTGTGTATGTGATTTGTTAACTGGGGTCACAGTAAACCTCAGCAGCTGGCCTGATCTGTTCCTGCTCTGGGCAGGGCAGGAAGCTTGCTGACCCTGGCTGGGCTCTCCTCAATGTTTGGGGCTGGCTGGGTGTGGATAGGCCCAGGGTGACCTGGGTGGGGACAAGTGAGTTCTCCTCCATGCGATCACACACCATGAGCACCCAAGCCCTGGGCTCTCCTCGGGGTAGACACAGGGCCTCAGAGAGGGCAGAAAAGGGCAAGCTTCCCAAGGCCCGGGCCAGGAACTGACACGGGTCACTTCTGCCAGATTCCAGTGGCCAAAGCCAGTCACAGCTCAAGAAGGGAGGAAGCAGACTCCTACCTCTTGATGGAGGCGCTACAAGGTGACTTCACCCAGGGCATGGGAGTGTTGGGGAACTGAGACCACTTCTGTCATCTACCCCAACTCTTCTCCACTCTGCTTTGTGTCCTAGGAGGCTGACCTCTAGACATAGTATCCCAGGGCCACCTCCCAGCAGTCCTTCGCGCCATTCACTTAGACTACAGTGTGAACGGTTCTCCCAAGGCTGTGCAAAACGCAGCTTACACACACACGCAACTGCCCTCAGTGAAGCCATCTGCAAAGGAGGCATCTGGGCTGGAAGACTCTACATTCCTTCATCCCAGAACTCACAGACACTTCAGACTCAAGATCCCAGCATTTTCTTCTGACTTGCCTGGAGACGTGGTGTGGGTGGCATCCGTGCCTGTGTCTCCGTGCCCGTCATGTAGCTCACTAGCACGCACACAACAGGAACAGGGTCAATAAGCTGATTCGATTTAAATGAATTCACAGAAATGTGTTTGAAATACATTTTGCACACATTCCATTTAAGTTCCCCTCACCTCCTCGCTTTGAGACCCCAGCAGACATGGCACCATCCTGTAAAAATGGGGTTGAGAACCACCAGTCTAGTTCATCAGACCTTAAGAGTTCAGAGCTAAAGTTAGAAACATAAAAACATCAAGAGATAGATTCTCCTAACCTAGCTTGATAGACCTGATAAAAGAGGGGAGAAGTCAGAAGGCATACCCGGGAAGCAGAGGGCCCAGGATTGGCCCCAAAGCCCTCTCTCTGCAGACACTGGGTGGAGCAGGCTGGCTTCCCGTCTGTGACTGTGGGCTCCGCTGATGCATGAAACTTTATATAAGCGAAACCTGAGTCCACCGGCTCAGCCCTCCAGCTCCCCAGCCAGCAGCAGTGTGCGCTCAGCAGCTGCGCCCAAATTTGGCGCAGACCAGAGGGCCCTGAAGCCACCTTCAGTGGGCCCACCAACCCGGACAATGGTGGTCTGTCCAGCGTGCGATGGAGAGGCTGCCAGCCCCTGAAAGTTGCAAGAGTCTGCCCTGTTGTGAGAAGTAAGCCGTGTTCCTGGATTTGGGTGGCTCCAAGGTTCAAATCTTGGCTTAGAGTCTTCTGGACACAATGGGGAAGGTTTTCAGTCAATCAATACGACAGCAACTACCCCGTACTGAGGAATGACTTTGTGCCCAGCATATCTACTCATTTACCCGGGCAACGACCTGACTGCCCCCAACAGTGGATATCATTCATCTCATTTTCGGGAGGAAGAACCAAGACTCCAAAAGGTTAGACACATGCCGGAAGTCACAGAGCAAATGGCTGCGGCATCAAAGCCAGCTGTGCCTGACCCTGAAGCACACAGAGGACCAGGTCTCCCAGTGTCTCTGGGCAGGGACCCACGGGTTCGGGGGATGCCAACCCTCCCAGCCCCCCGGCAGTGCACGTGGTAGAGCTGCATGCCCGAGGGATGACGTTCCTCTGCCACCTCCCTGGTGTAGTGACAGACGCGTGGGCGTCAAGCCCACACAAGACTCCCATCCAAACGGCTAAAATCCACCTCACACAAGAAGAAACGGCTCTGCCCCACCCACCCCACAGCCCCCATCGCCGCCACTTTTTAAATTTTAGAGTGATCAGTGGCCTCTGAAGGGAGAGAGAGTCCTTAAGTGTGTATATAGTACGGGACTTTTCAATGTGTGTGTGTGGTGTAGATGCACATATTGTTTGAAATCTTGGAATAAGTGGAAATCTGGTAAGCCCTACAGAGTAGGGAAGCCCGTCAGCCACAGTGAGTTATCAGATGGCACAGGAACACTGAACTCACGTTCTGCAGCCCAGGAGAAGGGCCCAGACACAGACTTCTGCAGGCTTCTGTGGGCGATCCGCCCAGGGCAAGGGGCCCTGCCCCGGGTGCCTTTGGGGTCATGTACACCGCAGGGCAGAGCGGCTTCCAGATGTCCTGAGAAGTGGGACACTGGCAGTGACTCCAGTCACACCTGAGGTCTCCCACTCTGCCCCTGTGGCCGGTGACCTGAGCCACCCCACCCAGTCCTCACTTCTGTCCTGCCAGGGCGCTCAGTGACACTGTTGCCTCTGTCTCATTTCCTGATCTGGTTTGCAAATGTCTGAAGGCCGTGGGTGCCAATCTTCCCCTGAATTCAGTATAGGTGGCAAAAGTAGTCTTGTTTTCCGTGGGAAAGGTCACAGCCGTGGGCTGGAATCTTCCCCCTCCAAGTGTAGCCAGGTGACCTGGGACAAAGCTAAGTGCCAGGCCTCAGGGTCCTCATCTGCAGCACGGGCATCTTGAGGGATGGCGCCTGCAAATGAGGGGAGCATGCTGCCTGCCACGCTGGGCAGACATTTTACTCTCTTTTAAAAAGATGTATAGAAAGGCAGGCAGAGCTGAAAGAAAGGAAGCGAGCAGGCAGATTCTGGAGTGACTTCTATTAATAGAACGAGGGTCAGGTCCTGAGGCAGCACCCGCTGGACTGGGCTCGGGGAGTTCACAGAGCAGCTGCCCCTGACAAAACGGAATGGCATGTGGCAGCTCTCCCTCAGTCCCAGGCAGACGCGTCTGTGTGGGCGTGTGTGCATGTGTGTTTACACATGCGTGCCCCATATGTTTATGTGTGCACGTTTGTGCAGGTGTGTGTGCATGTGTGCATGTTTATTTACATGCATGTGTGCCCGTGTTTGTGTGTGCACGTTTGTGCAGGTGTGCGTGTGTGCATGTATGCATGTTTACATGCATGTGTGTCCTGTGTTTACATGTGTGCATGTCTCTGCATGTATGTGTGTGCACGTGTGTGCATGTGTATTTACATGCGTGTCCCACGTGATTATGTGTGTGCACACCCGTGCAGGTGTGTGTGTGCACATGTGCATGTGTATTTACATTCATGTATATCCCACGTGTTTATGTGTGTACACATCTGTGCAGGCATGTGTGTGTGCACATGTGCATGCGTATTTACATGCATGTGTGTCCCACGTGTTTGTGTGCATGTCTGTGCAGGCATGCGTGTGTGTGTGTGTGTATTTACATGCATGTGTGCCCCATGTGTTTACATGTGTGCACATTTGTGTAGGTGTGCGTGTGTCTGTGTGTTCACATGCATGTGCAAGTGTGCAGGAATGCGTGTGGGTATGCATATGTGTGTGTGCACTCCTGTGTCTATGTGATGCCAACATAAACACTAGTTTCTAGTATGGTTCTCAAGAAATCTCTTCAGGCGCTCCTGATTTAAATTGAATTTCAGTTTGTTTGCTTTCTTTTTAGTGAGCCAGCAAATGCAGTTCCAGCTACCTTCTTCCCTAGGCCTGAAACTCAAACAAGAATCACACTGGTTCAGGGTTGAGACAGGACTATAAAGTCACATGCTTCAAAAGTAAATGTTTATTATTGCAAAAGTCACTATTCTGAAACCATATTCAGAGTAGTTTAGTTAGAAGCAACTTGATATAACCAATCATTCAGTTTGCAAGATTTAAAAAAGTCTCCATAAAAACACAGTCTGGAGATACCATATTACAGCTTTTCTCTATAAGTGACTTAGCCAATCAACAAGTTTTTACAGCAGCTACAGGTCATGGGCCTGAGTGAGAATCTCACCCTACCACCACACTGTGATCACGGACCACATTCTTTTTAGGGCCAAAGGACCTAAGAAAAGGCACATTTCTAGCAGGTGGGCACTTGTGCTTCTCCCCACTCCAGCCCCTAACCAACCCCAGAATTCACCGAGCAGAAAGTGAGTCTCGAGCTCACTTGGAAAAAAGTATTTTCTTTTTCCTATGCGACATCAGATTTGCTGATTTGCTGCAAGCCTGTGGAAAATCACCTAGGGCTGCCAGGTTACAGTTTGGGAAAATGCAAACCATATTCTTCTGCACACGTCAGGGAAGTCTTCGGCCTGGCCTGCTCAAATGCTGGTCTGTTTTAGCTCCTGATTCTTTTGCTCCTTCTATTCCAAATCTGACATGACAACTTTCAACTTCCTTCTGCTTCATCCCGTCCTTGTCGACTGAGTTATGTTTTCTGTACTAGAACCCCTAAGACTCTATTAGTCAGATTTTGTAATCTCCCATAGCACCTGGCATCATGCAATCAGATAAATCTGGTTCAAATGTTTAACACGACCCATCATGAGCTGAACTGTGTTGCTCCAACATTCATATTTTGAAGTCCTAACCTCCAGTACTTCAGATGGGGCCTTACTCAGAAATGAAGTCATGGCAGATGTAAATGGTTAAGATGACGCCATACTGGGGTAGAGTGCCCCTAATGCAATCTCACTGATGTCCTTCTAAAAAGGGGGAGTCTGGACACAAAGAAGAAGTGGGGACGTCATGTGAAGATGGGACTTGTGTTGCCATGAGCCAGGAACTCCAGAAGCTTGAGAGAGGTGTGGGGCAGACCCTTCCGTGGCGCCTTCTGAGGGCACAAGGCCCTGCCAGCACCTTGATCCCAGACTTTGGGCCTCCAGAGCTGAGAGACAGATGCCCCCACGTCCAGCACCAAGACTACAGGCAGCATCTGACTTTCAATTACGTTCCACAAACACCTAGCCAGGCTCTCCTGGGAGCGTGTCACATGGATTACACAGGAGGAACACACAGAGAAACACACAGAGAAACAACCAAGTTCCCTGAGTTTTTTATAGTGAATTAAGAGACTTCTGCTGCATTCATAAGTGAAATTAAAAGAGCATTGCATGATTTCCATGATTTTAATATGTGGTATTAGTCTTACAGCAATTTTCCATCCTCTAAAATTCATCTTTCTTGATTTTGCCTCCTTTGACTAAATACCCCAGGGATGTTTAAAGTGAATTTGTGAGAAGAGGGCGACCAGGGCTCCCTAGACGTCTCGACCTCAGAGTGCGTCTGCTCAAGGCAGGAGTACCAGGGGGATGTGGGCAGCCCAGCCAAACATCCTGCCCACCCCCCGGGGGAAAACCAAAGCGCAGGGTGTCCAGATACAAAGACGAGGGAAACTTGTTACTCCCATTCTCCTCTCCCCCACAGCAGAAAGCATCTGTCCAGTATAATGAAAAGTGTCTCTTTTCAGAACTTTTCATGTAAAGTTTATAAACCCATCTTCTCACCATCTAACCTTCCACCTTGAAAGAAAGGTGAGAACCTGGGTGGAAAGTTTCCTTTAAATGAGCAGAAGAATCTGACACTCTATGAACATCCTCTCTGTTCCCTCCATCCTCTTCCTGACTCTGAAACAGAATAAATGAGCGTAATGGAAGAAACACATTAGGACATGGTTTCTTAATAAAAGCCATATGGGAAAGCCGAGGCGCCCAGCCCTGTTTCTTAGTTCAGCACTCATCCCCAGCCTCGTGGCTCACGCCAGCTTGTGAGCTTGCAGAGGCGAAGGCTGCAGGCCACTTGCCTTCTGCTCACTGGCTGTCAGTGCACCCCCGTGGCATAGGTCAAGTGAAG